ACTGAGAGCAGACACCAAGCCACTGTGACTTGAAATCTAGTAGCAACTACCCTGGCTTTAATTATTTTTAAAAATTATTTAAAATTCTTTCCTTTCCCTGAGGAGACTGGTGAGGCCCCGCCTCCCTTGCCTCTAGTAACTGCACGTCCCTGCTCAAATAAGGCAAGCAAAGAGAAAAGAACTAGTGAATGAGAGAGAGAAAAGGAGCGAATTAGAGAAAATATATGGATCATTCATGTTATTGGGAATCTTGATGCTTGTTTCACATTGGGGCTTTTCAATAAAGCAGGAGAGGGCAAACGTTCTTACTCACTTCAGATCAAATTCTGACAATACTAAATTCCTGTATTTAGGTAGTTGCAAAATCCCTCCTGCTTGTCTTTGCTCGTAGCTATGTTCCGGAAAGTGATTGGTAAATGTTTTACATTAAAGCTGTAACTTTAAGCACCACTCATTGGCTTCATTACCAGGGCAGAAGAGAGATCAGTTGGCATAAGAGATCAAGATAAATCTTTATACTTTGTGCCCCTAATTGGACAAGAGATAAATATATTAAACTATTAGAATGTGCAATTGTGCTTCAATTTCCATCTAGCCTTGACTTTCTCATTTTAAGTGAAAATTTTAGTCTAATTATTGTGTAGTGTGATTGTAACGAAGAGAATCATGTCCACCTTAAATCATTGGGGGGAAAATTTTAAAATCAAAGGGAAGTGTCATTATTATTTAGCATAGCTATGTTAGCAGGCCTACTTCTGAGTTGGTTGGCTTAAGAACATTAAATTAAGTATAAAACATTCCAGTTCAAGAAAGGACACCCAGGCTAATTTTTTGCTTCATTGGAGAGTTCATAGAGTATGCATGATAATAAAATTTTTAAACCTTATCTTTCTTTCATCTGATACTCTCATTCATGCTGTCGACATACTTACATTTTAACTCAAGTTTGATGAAATCTGAATTCCCCCGATTCTCAAGGAAGACTCCATCAGGGGCTGATGTTTTGAAGTAGAATGAAATGTCAGCACTAGTCTCTCCTTGAAAGGTGGAGAAGTGGAGATATGAAGATCGAGTAACAAATGATGCAGCATTCCAATAATTCTCTGTAACATATGAAAATATATTTCTTTTGAGCTATGTGCTACTTAAAATTAGACAAAATAAACAATACCTTTTATAAAGGGTCAGAAAACTGAAGTTTGAAAAGGGAAGCAAGCTATACTATTTGTCTTCTATATAAAATAATACTTTTAATTAAAATATTAATTATTTTATTTTATTGATAGATAGTTGCAGCCTAATACTGCCTACAATTCAGTGAGCATGATTGTTGTTTATAATGTACATTATACTAGAAAATTCTGCTTGCACTTAATAAACAAGAGTGATTTTTACTTAGCTGTCAAGTTAATAGAAGCTTTCCTCGGCTAAATCATACTTGAAACAAGAATCTGAAGAGATTAACTGAATTCCTCAAGGTCAGCATTGCATCCTTTTGTGATGAGATTTTATGAATTCCATTACAATTAAGTTAAAGTTAAAATTCCAAGTTCAAGTATTTTTTAGATAAACTATAGTGAGATAGAAGCAAAAAGACAGTTCTATGAAATATTGACGTCTAACAAATGCAATATAATTGATGTTTAGAGAGTTTATAGACAGATTTTCTAGAAACTCCAAAAGTTTACAAATTGAATTAAAAAACAAAACAATGAGAAATATAACTAGGGGCATAATAATATAAGGAGCAAACTTGAAAACCAGCTCTAATCAAATACATAGAAGAAATACATATAGAAAGATATTAAGTCTTTAGCTATTACCATGTTTTTCAGAGAATAAGATGCACTTTTTTCCCTCAAAAAAGAGGCTGAAAATCTGGATGCATCTTATACACTGAATACAGCATTTTCTGCCTCCTGAAACCCCACTCACTTCACCAAAATGGCCATGAATAGCCTTTAGGAGCCTTGCAGAGTGCTCCTGGCAACTGGGGAGGGCAGGAATGAGCAAAAACCGGGCCTTTTTTTGCTTAATTTTGCCCTCTCCAGCTCCCAAGAACACTCTATAAGCCTCCTAAATGCTATGCATCCTTCCCCTCAAATATGTAAGGAAGAAGAAGAAGAAAGTGAAAGAAATGATGCTGTAGGCTGAATTAAGAGAGTGGTAGTATCAAGTCACGTAAAGTGATAGTACTGCTTTATGCTACCCTAGTAAGGCCACACTGAAATACCATTTCTCCATCCATGATGGTGTACATTACAACTTCCAGAAAGTCAAATTTTTATATAAAAAGAGTAACTTCATACATTTTAATACCCAGGAATGAAACAAAAATTATATTCGAGACTAAACAAAAATGCATTTAAGAGTGAGCAAATAACATTGTTAACAATATTACATATTACATTATGGCCTAATTTCTTTGAAAGTACAGCTTTGAGATCTGTAGCCCAGAAATAGCTAGGCTGGATTTTTATGGGAAAGATGATAGCTGATTTATCTTTTCCCTAAATAACAAATGGCTCTTAATTACATGTTGCTTCAAATTATGTGCTATATGTATCTCTCTCATTAATGATGATTTTAAATGTATCCAAAGGTCAAACTAATTATAGGTATGAGGAAAACTAGATGCCTGTCAAAAAGTTATGTTATTCACTAGCATAAATTGTGCTATCTTCATTGCTGATCCTTAACCCACTATATGAAGGAGAACAGCAACTGTGCTGCCTTTACTGTTTTAATGCAGGACAATTAAAGAATGTGCTGGATTCCCTTGGGCTTTATTTTCCTTTCCAACAATAATTAATTACCCGCTTGTGAAAAAACAGTGACCCATCACTCTGTGCAATGTTGCTTCCTGTAGGTTTGACAAGTATAGGCAGGTGCTTGAGAAGGCATATCTATTCACCTGTCAATTTACCTGTCTAACAGGTTTCAAGCAGAGAGATCCATCTGTGTTGCATGGATATGGCAGTTCTACAAGCAAGCAACAAAGATGGCTGGCAGCATTGGGAAGTAACCAGGATTGCAATTATGATTGGCTCACATGTAATGATGGCAGAGACCACCATGTTACCTAGTATTTCTGAAGCCAGAAGTGGGTAGGAAGAATTGACATATCCCTTTCCCCTCCCACAGTAATATACACAATAAAATTATTGCATTGCTACAAAACAATGTTTAACATATAACAATAACACTATACAGCAGTGATGGCTAAACTTTTTGGCACTGAGTGGCAAAAGTGCATGGTTACACCCATAATGCAATGTGTGTATAACCCCCCCCCCTGTGCCCCACCCCTCTGCACATGCACACACAAACACTCCCCCATGCACGCACGCATGACCCCCCCCCCCTGTGTATGCCCCACCCCCGTGCATGCGTGGCAGAGACCCAAAAACCAGCTGGCCAGCGGGAGGTGCATGTGCATGCATGGTAGAGCTTAGCTGGAGCAATGGTTTGCGTGCCCGCAGAGAGGGCTCTGTGTGCTACCCATGGCACGCTTGCCATAGGTTCGTGTTCTGACCCCCACTTTGCTCGTTCAAAAACTACAGCCAAACAGAACTTCAAAGGAAATATTTTTATCAGTCCCGGCTTTTGCTGGCTGCGAGCCCAAAACAAACACAGATAAGTTCTCATATTCCTGGTGACATAGAACCAACTGAATGATTTACAGCTTCTTTTGAAAAGAGTCTCAATTCTCCTCAAAACTGGGCACCCTGTTTTCCATCTTTTGAAAATATTCCACTTATAGTGGAAAAAAAGTGCAACAAAGCGGTCAAACAGAAGGGAAGGCTTTAACTCACATTGTGAAACTAAAAACACACACAGAGAGACACACACAAGTATTTTCTATACTTTATTGAAAGTGAATATTAAATTGAGTTGTAATATTTTTTACAACTGTTTTCTTTTTAATTAAACATTAAAATGGTAGAGTTAAGTCTAATTTAATTTTCATTTGATTGTTAGAAACCACCTTGACTATTGTGATGAGTTAGGGCAGAGTATAAATAAAAATGAATAAATAATCCTGGCTCCTACCAGCGAAAAACATATTTTGGTATTTTTTAAGTGATGAAAAAGATAAATAGTTTTAAATAAATGAATAAATTACTTTTTTAAAAGGCAGGTTTCAGTGAAACTCTCACACATAATATTTAGGCTCACCACTGAAATTGGGAATGAGATTCCCTGCCAAAGACAGCTCTAATAGAGTTACTATAGACAGAATAAGAACTACAAAATGAATATTGCTACCAATTTCATTTTGACCCAAGACCATTTTCAGCAATTAAAATTTTACTTGTATATATATAACAGTATGAAATATTAAAATGTATCTAGTAAATAAAAATAAGTAAACAGACTACTTGATGTAAAGATGCTGGATAGTTTCTACTTTATAAGATTGACTATCAACAGTAAAAGAAGAGTAGAGCACTTGTTGCATACAAATGAAGGCCCTGGAAAATGCATTCAGATATCTGTATATCTATATCTACAAAAATCAGAATCATGCTGAGTGATGCTCTATGGAAGCAAAAGTTGGACTTTGAGGAAACAAGATAAAAAGAGTATTGATGCTTTTGAATAGCATCAAAGGTAGCCAATAAAATGAACAAAAGGATTGTAGAACAAATGCCTATAGAGTTCTTACTCAAGGCTCAAATGACATACACTTAAATTATAGCAATAGCATATAGACATCACTTCATAGTGCTTTACAGCCCTCTCTAAGTGGTTTACAAAGTCAGCATATTTTCCCCAACAATCTGGGTCCTCATTTTATCAATCTCGGAAGGATGGAAGGCTGAGTAAACTTTGATCCACTCAGAATTGAACTTCTGAAGTGAGTAGTAAGTTAGCCTGCAGTACTGCATTTTAATCACTGCACCATCAAAATTATCACGTTGGATACATTATGTGACTACCTAGCTTTCTTTAGAGGTTTATAATGCTGAAAAAGCTGAAATGAAAGAGAAGATAATCAGCAACTATGTAGATAGATTCAATTACAGGAGTTAGGGATGGAGAAAAAACTATCTAAAAGAAGGCCTATTCGTCCTAAGAGTCAATGCTAACTTGATGGTACATCATCAGCCAGTCACAAAAAGAGACACTACATTAAATGTTATGTATTCAATCATTGTCTTTATTACAAACTTCCTCAATGTGGTTTAGAACAGTGGCCCCCAACCTTTTGGGCACCAGGGGCCAGTTCCATGGAGAGAGTTTTTTCCGCAGACCAGAAGGTATGGTTTTGTGTGCTGTGGATGGGGCTTTGCTTGTTTGTACAGCTCAGTTTCTTGAATGCCGTGGACCAATGCCAGGCCACAGATCGGGGGTTGGAGACCCATGGTTTAGAATAATGCACGTGCATTAAACCATTAAATAAAATAACAAATAGTAGAGGACTCAGCTATGATATCTAGCATTTTCCCATTCTAAAAAAAACTTCATACGATTCTATGAGCAGATTTCTTTTTTAAATATATATAGGCATATATATATATAAAACAGCCCATTCCTGTTATATATAGTTAGTAGATAGCACTGAACATAACTAGAATATATAATGTAGTAAACATACCCAGAAGACTTTTAGCAATTAAAAGGATAGACTAAAGTTTATAACTTTCCCACATACTACATATAAATTATTAAGTGACACCAATCTTATGTTTCCAGTCCTATAAACTACAAATGGTTAATGTAACAGGAATACATAATTGTGTATGTATATCAGGAACTTTAAAATAAATTCTAAACTCAGTGACACTCAAAATTAAGATACATGCAGATACATGTGGTAAATTATACTCCATAAAACAGCAGGAAGATCGGTACTAAAACTTTTCTTGAACATTGTCATATCACTAAGTGTGTGGGGAATTTGTAGATAGGTGCCTAGCCAACAAGCCTTACAATCTGAGTCTGTAATAAAGTTTCAACCACAGCAAGAATCAGATATTATGCCCAGTTGCATCCCTCTATGTTCTCTGTCCCATTTAGTCACAAACATCCCCATTCACTTTAAAGTTGGTCGCAAACTTCACTCATTCTGCGCGCGCACTGATCCCACCCAAGGAGG